AAATCCCAAACATTTAGGAAGTATGTATATACATTTAGCTTCATAAAACAAAGACAAAAGAGCTGCTAAGCAGGCTGAGAGGTCATAAAAGTCTAGAAAAAATGCTACTTTTAAAAATTAGGCTTCTATATGAGATTTAGAGCTTAATGGAGTCACAACTGTCTTGACCTGCAAAACATGCAACGCTATCCTGCACAACATCCTGGTCTCAAAATTGGAAGGATGTGGATTTGATGGAAGGACTGCGTGGAGGATAAGGAATTGGCTGGATGGTCACACTCAGAGAGTGGTGATCAGTAGCTTAATGTCCAGATGGAGACTTGTGACGAGTGGCATCCCTGAGGGCAGAGGTGCTGTTTAACGTCTTTGTCAGAGACATGGACAGTGGAATTGAATGCACCCTCAGAAAATTTGCTTACAACACCAAGCTGTGTACTCAACACATTGGAGGGAAGGGATGCTGTTCAGAGGGACCCTGAGAGGCTTGAGAGGTGGATCCATGCCAGCCTCATGAAGTTCAGCAAGGCTGAGTTCAAGATGCTGAACCTGTGTCAGGACAACTCCAAGTACAATTACAGATTGGGTGGAGAATGGATTGAGAACAGCTTTGAGGAGAAGGACAAGGGGGAGTTGATCAATGAAGAGCTCAACATGACTGGCAATGTGCACTTGCAGCCCAGAAAGCCAACCATGTCCTGGGCTGCATCAAAAGATGCAGGCCCATCAGGTCGAGAGAGGTGATTCTGCCCCTCTACTCTGCACTTGTGAGATCCCACCTGGAGTACCGTGTCCAGTTCTGAGGTCCCCAAAACGGGAAGGGCATAGAGCTCTTTTAGCAAGTCCAGAGAAAGGCCATAAAGATGATGAGAGGGCTGGAGCACCTCTCCTACGAAGACAGAGAGATCTGGAATTGTTCAGCCTAGAGAAGAGAAGGCTCTGGGGAGACCTCATAGTGGCCTTCCACTCCATGGAAGAGGCCTACACAAAAGCTGGGGATGGACTTTTTACCAGGGTGTGTAGTGATAGGAAAAGGGGTAATGGCTCTAAGCAGGAAGAGGGTAGATTTGGGTTAGACATTAGGAAGAAATTCTTTAGTGTAAGTTTGGTGAGACACTGAAACAGGTTGTCCATGGAGGTTGTAGAAGTTCCCTCCCTGGAAGTGTACAAGGCCAGGTTGGATGGGGCTTTCACAGAATCACAGAATCGTAGGGCTTGGAAGGGACATCGAAAGATTATCCAGTCCAACTCCCCTGCCAGAGCAGGGTACCTAGACCACATCACACAGGAACATGTCCAGGCGGGTTTTGAATGTCTCCAGTGAAGGAGACTCCACAGCCTCTCTGGGCAGCCTGTTCCAGTGCTCTGTCACTCTCACAGGAAAGAAGTTTTTTCTGATATTCACATTGAACCTTTGAGAAACCTGGTCTAGTGGAAGGTGTCCCTGCCTATGCAGGGGGGATAGAGCTAGATGATCTTTTAGGTCCTGTCCAATCCAAACCATTCTCTGAATCTGTGACTAGTCCAAGTCCAAATGAGCCCAAAAGAGATACACGCTGGTTTTGGAAACCACAAGAAAACCACACCACCATGATACAAATTAATTGTTAGTTTTCTTCCCATTGGGTTGCAAAAGAAAGCAAGACTCTTAGTTTCAAGAATCAATTGGAACTCAGGAGGTTATTTACTACAGAATTCAGATGTGTTTAAATTAGGTGTCTGGTCCTTGTGTAGCCTAAGGGAAGAGAGACTTTTGAGGTAATGTTCACAGCACCTAGGGTCATACCTTGCTCTTCTGTTACTTTCCAATGGACCCCCTCAACATCCATGGACTCCAGAGGGAGTATCTGGAGCCCACTATCAAGATTTATAATCTTAAAATAGCCCTAAAAATGAAAGTGAGGCAAAACAAAGATGAAGTGAGATTTGTGTATTTTATAGACTGGCACCTGCAATTTCTTGCATTATTGCTGGAGCATTTTTGCATAGCTAACATTGTGTCTTGTGGGAGAGGGAAAGGCCTTTAATAAAGCCCATTGGATTTTTGGACAGACAATTAATTTAAATACATTCTTCTTTTTTTTTTTTCCCCCTTGAGCTTTAATTCTCCTTCTTTAGCATTTGTAATGCTCTACTCAGTGGAACTAGGTAGGAATGCATTATTGAAATGTTTATTGTTTCCTCCAGAAGAAAATAAGTAGAGTACAATCATAGATCATAGAATCATAGAATGTATTGGGTTGGAAGAGACCTATAAAGATCACCTAGTCCAACACCCCTACAATAAGCAGGGACATGTCACACTAGAACAGATTGCTCACGTTCCTATCAAACCTGACCTTGAATGTCTCCAGGGATGGGGCCCCCACCACTTCTCTAGGCAACCTATTCCAGTGATCCACCACCCTCATATTAAAGAACTTTTTCCTAATGTCCAACTTAAATCTATCCTTCTCTAGCTTAAAACCATTATTCCTTGTCCTATTGTTATATGCCCTTGTGAACAGGTCTTCCCCAGTCTTCTTATAGGGCTCTTTCAGACATTGGAAGGTCTCTATAAAGTCCCTTTGGAGTCTACTCTTCTTCAGGCTGAACAAAACCAATTCCCTCAGCCTGTCTTCATAAGAGAGGTGCTCCAGCCCTCTGATCATTTTTGTGGCCCTTCTCTGGACATGCTCCAACAGGTCCACACCCTTCTTGTGCTGGGGGCTCCAGAGCTGGATGCAGTACTCCAGGTTAGGTCTCAGCAAGGCAGAATAGAGGGGCAGAATCAGCTCTCTCAGTCTGCTGGCCACACTTCTTTTGATGCAGCCCAGGATGCTTTTGGCCTTCTGGGCTGCAATTGCACATTGGTGACTCATGTCACACTTTCAATCCACAAGTACCCTGAGGTCTTCTTCCACGGAGCTGCTCTCTAGCATGTCTTCCTCCAGCCTGTATTCATATCTCTAGTTTCCCTCACCCAGGTGCAGGATCCTACACCTGGCCTATTTGAACCTCATGAGGTTCACCTGGGCCCACTTCTCCAGCTTGTACAATATCATTTACTAAAGCAGGAAGAAGGTAACAGGGGTGTGTTGCAAGCAGTGCGGTGGATAGAGTAGCAAAAGTGCAACAGGAGGGGGTAGGAGACATGATTTCTATGCCACTGGTCTACCAAGGGAATTTGATGCTTGAAGTCAAATGAGTCATACTCTCCCTGTAAGTGAACTGAAGGTAAACATGCTGAGACCTGCCTCAAGTCCTTCATTCCCTTTGATAGAGGACCAAATATTGCCACAGTTTAACTATATCCTGAAAAGTTAACCGTAACTGAAAGATTAGATTCTATCTGGAGAAGAACCCCAGGTTGCAATCATTGGGGTCTCATGAACAGCTTTTCATTGCATGTCTTTCTTTAATAAAGGAAAAAACAGCTTAAGGTAACAAGCTCTGTTTCCAAGAAAATTAATAGGACTGCTCTTTCAACTAATTCACTGCTCATCTTGGAAAAATCAGGCATCCAGGATTAAAACTGAAATAAGTCTTTGTGTTCAGTTTTTACTTTTTAAATCATAACCTTCTAGGTCTTCTAGCATTTACCAGCATGTTTTTATACTTTTGGAAATAACTATATTAATTTTTCTATTCCCTTACCCAGAAGCTGGTATTGTTGAGGTGCTAAGGAACATCTTCATGGAATCCTGTGTACTCATTTTTATACTTTAAACACTTCCAAAGGTGCCAAAGTCGGGGTCCTGAGGTCCCCATTATCATCTTTGGACAGAGAGTAGCATTTTATCATGAAACTGAGAACACATCACTTAAATGCCTGAAAAGGTGAGCTGACTTCAAGCAGCAGCAACACATAGGGCTGACAGATATATGGCTTAGAGACTCATTGACCAGCATCCCTTTCATGGGATAACATTGCCCCCATAAATCTCCTATCTTCCACAGTATGAGCTGAGCTGCTCAAGCCAAATTAACATTCCTCTTCAGTAAGGATCCTGGCAGTGGATCCCATCTGCTAATACTCTTGTCAACAATACCACACTTCAGAAGAGAGGGCAGCTTTTTTTCCAACCAGGTTGTATTCTCTTCTGAAGCACAGAAAAGTTGGTGCCCACAGCACCACAAAACCAGGAGGTTTGAACACTTAAACTGAAGCTACCTCTTCATCAGGTAAATCTGTCAGTGAATCTTTACATTTCTGCTGGCACTGTCAATGTTAATATCGTACCTGCTTCACATCTGAATGGAGGCTGCTAATCTACCTAGATTTCAGTCTAGCAAATACATCCAGGACTAACTGATGCTACAGGGAGAAATTTCAACTTTTCAAAAAGGTTCTCTCAGACATACAGCAATCCGCATCTTGAAAAAAAACACCCCAAATCCAAAACATTTGATTGTCTCAGTAGCAGGTGTTTGGAAAATCTTGTTATAGGCAGTAACTGTAACACAGAACACAATTGCTGCTTGTGCAACAGGAGGAAAGGAGTTCAAAACGAATGAACACAACTTGTTGGCTGCAGCATTCTTTATGAAATATCAGCTTTCTAATTCCACGGAACCTCTCATACACTAACAGAGAAGCATATGCTCTATTTTAAGCTGTATATAATGCAAAGGATAGCTATTATTACTTCAACAGAAAAAGGAACAGTATCAGCCAGTATGTGCTGTAAGTAAGGAAAGTTATTTATTTTGTCAGCAGTTGGAACATAAAGCTGCTCATGTTTGTTGGTATTTCACATTTATCATTACAGTTGTTTACTTACTTACAAACAGGTATGAAGTGCTAATTCTCTTTAGAGCCTAATAAATTACAAACTGTCGATATCACAAACATTATACAGAAATACAAGTTATACATGTACAGGATACAAGGGCAAGAGCTATAGGAGACAGAAAGAAGAGCTCACTCTCAAAGATTTAACATAAATTTTGCTGAGAAAGAGGATCTGAAGTCTTAGAAATCTGTGCTGCATGTTGCGTTCACAGCAACATACCCACTCAGTTTAATATTTGCCAGGCAAATCACAAAGCCCTCTCAGGCTACAGCAGCATATAATCTCTTTGAATGTTTTCCTGAGCTCCTGACTCCGGAATGCATAGATGAGTGGATCAATGATGGAATTGCACATGATGAGAATGAGGTAGAAGTTAAAGTGGGACATGAAGCACACACAGTAAGGGTTGTATGGGCAGGAGATGTAGAAAATCAGGTGCAGGAAGAATGGAGCCCAGCACACAACAAAAACTCCAATCAGGATGGTGAGAGTGATGGCCCCTTTCATGTTGGCCCCTTGGCGAATAGGGCCAGTCCCTGGAAGAACAGCAATCTTTTTGATATGCATCCGAGCCATCATGAACATGTGGACATAGAGGGATGCCATGAGAATGAGCATAGTGAAGAACATGCTAATAAGGCAGATGATGACAACACTGCTGTCAGAGTAAATTATGAACAAAATGCCTGAGACTGTGCAAGCAGCCCATATGCAGGTGATGATGACCCCTACGCGTTTCACCGTCATGATATTATGGTACTGGAGGGCGTAAAATATAGTAAAGTACCTGTCCACTGCTATTGAGAGGAGACTGCAAATTGATGCAAGCAAGGAACTGCAAATCACTGAATCAATGACATTGTCAATGTTTATGGTAAAGCTCTGTGCATCTGTGTCTGTATTGTTTAGCAGCGTGATGACAATAGTTTCCGATCCATTAGATACACTCACTAGCATGTCAGCCACTGCCAAGCTACAGATGAAGAAGTACATGGGTGAATGGAGGTTCTTGTTCTTGGCTATTGCCACAATGACCAAGACGTTCTCCAGTAAGCTGATGATGCCCAGAGTCACAAACACTTCAGGGGATACAAAGAGTTGCTCGTAGCAGCCTCCTGAAGAATGGTCCTTTGCATTGGGCTCACTGGCACCTCCATGCAGTCCATAGCTGTGGTTCCAGAAATGGAGAAGCTGGAGTGTCCCACGGTGCTGTGTAAAATTCATCTTATGGAGAGCCCCTTTCAGCTTCCTGCTTTTAAAGCTCCTGTTCCTTTTGTATTTCTTTGAAAATCTTCTTTGACTTTTCAGCTTGGGAGGAGAAGAAAAACAAGCCAGCACCAAAGCAGGTAGCAGTTCAGAACACTTTGACTGTTGTCACAAAACAAGGTTTCAAACTCAGAAATACTGGTTTACTCCCTCACAGATGCAGTTTTAGATCATCATCACATTTGCCTGGGTGATCTGTGTTGCAGAGTCCCAACAGTCTGTAAGTTTTCATCAGGTTTCCCCTATGGTCAGTTCCTGTTTAGTTCACTGGTATGCTGCAAGGCTTTTTTGTTCCCTTTCATTAAGGGAGGCAAACATAATATGCTCAGGTGACTGCTGTGGAGCAGAAACTAATTTCAAACTGCAAGCACCAGTCTGACTGTCAGGCGGTGCATGCTGGCTGCCTGTTTTATGGTGTGTGCAGGAGAGAAATACTCAGGGCACTCTCCGCCTCTGCTTTGCCTTCCAGCCAATGGGGCTCAGGAGCTGCAGAAAGTCAAGGGGCTGCTGATTCTGAGCCTCTCTGAAACATCACACTACAAAGTAGATTCAGCTGCCGCACAAGCTACCAATAGCTACAGGAAAGCAGATGGATTACCAGAGATTTGTTTCCCTTCTCTAATTCCTCATAATAGTATTTTGATACGGATTTTTAATTGGCAATCTTACAGAACTGTACCAGCAATCTTACAGAATTTCTGCAGCTGAACTGATGTTTATTTTCTTTTTCAGACTGTGATTTGCTGTAATTTACTCTTTC